GTCTGTTTGCACTCTTCTCCACGACAGGGTTTGACTGTCCTTGTATCTTGCTCTCCTATGTCCTGATCATCCGATCTGTCCTCAGCATTGCCTCCATAGAGGGCAGGCAGAAAGCCTTCAACACCTGCGTTTCCCACATCAGTGCCGTTGCCATATTCTACATCCCTCTCATCAGCCTGTCTCTTGTCCATCGCTATGGCCATTCAGCACCTCCCTTTGTCCACACCATCATGGCCAATATCTTCCTGCTTATTCCTCCTGTGCTCAACCCTATCATCTACAGTGTGAAGACTAAGCAGATTCAAAAGGCTGTTATCAAGGTCTTAATTCAGAAGCAAATCCAAATCTAAACTTTAGTTGTCTCAGAGTTAAGTGCTTTGAATGAATGCTTTGGTAGAATGGTGTAACTGTCCAACAAATGCCTAGATATGCCTCCAACAGTACAAACTATTCAACCTATAGGTTGTATGATATTTGCTTAGTTTTCTTGTTCTGTAAGTTCATATTAATACCACTTAAATTATTGTTTTTAAGATAAAGTGAAATAATGTATGTAAACAAATATATATATTTGAAAGTAGTATGAGGCCTGAATAAAATATTCATAAGCTCAGATTTATGTAGGAAGCTTTACTAATAAGCCAATTCTTTTCTGAATGATATACAAAAAGCACTTCTAATAATTGAACTTTTTTTCTTAAAACTCTCAACTCTCTGCATGCTTCCAAAACAGATGCACTATAGAATGGATCCTAAAATATACATCAGTGTAACTTAACATTGTATCTTATGTAGGTAAATTTATCTTTGCCATTTATTATGTTATAGGGACCTGTGAATGTAAAATGTCATATCAAGAGCTCTGGATCAGTTATGCTGCTATTAGCTGAACATTAAAAACTTGTAATAACATTTCTAACATCCCAGGAGTGAGGATTATACTGTTTCCCCATCATCAGCCTTGAGAAAAGAGAGCTCATACTTTTGGCTCATGCTTTATTTATAGCTCTGCCATTGTGACTCCATCTATGGGCCCACTGGACCAGCAGCAGTGGAGCTAAGGCCAAGTGATATTTCTAAGCAGGTTCTCTCCTCTTCGTTATCGAGTTCCTCCACCTAGGTGTGTACAGTTTGGTGGGTAGTAGCATGAGATTTGGTGGGTGGTAGCATGAGGTAAGGGGCTTCCCCTGTGGCTCAGACGGTAAAGAATCTGTCTGCAATGCTGGAAACCCAGGTTTGATCCTTGGGTCGGGAATATACCCTGGAGAAGAGAATGGTAACCCACCCCAGTATTCTTCCCTGGAGAATCCCATGGGCAGAGGAGCCTGGTGGGCTACAGTCCATGGGGTCACAAAGAGTCAGACATGACTGAGTAATTAACACTTTCACTTTCAGCATGAGATAAAAGATTTTCACTCTTTATGACCTCTTCAAGATGTACTTCACATACATCTTCTACAGACTTCCTTTTCTCTCTTCTTTCAAGGTTGCTTATTCTATCCCATGACCAACTATCCACACCTTTCAGAAAATTACAGAAGTCCATGTGTATCCACATAAATCAGATAACCTCTCTTTCTACACAATGTTGACAACAAAGAGAACTGTGAATTATGAGAATTTTTCTTCATCATTTTTTTTATGACCACCATGTGTGGGACTGTTTTGCAGTTGTATTATATTTTGTGGCTCAGACCATAAAGAGTCTGACTGCAATGCAGGAGGCCCAAGTTCTATCCCTGGGTCTGGAAGATCCCCTGGAGGAGGAAATGGCAACCCACTCCAGTATTCTTGCTTGGAAAATCTTGAGAACAGAGGAGCCTGGCAGTCTACAGTCCACAGGGTCACAGAGTCAGACATGACTGAGTGACTATAGTTTTCTTTCAGCACCAAATTGTCCACCAATCCACCCATAAAACCAGTGACAGATTCCATAGGATTCTAGGACAACCATTCATTCACATAATTTATTTGTGCTTTGTATAAATAAATTATAAGAATGGGGCCTTGCACTTTGTCTTTCCTACCCTAGTGGTTTAAACGTCCCAGATAGAGTAATAACATGAGATTTCACCAGCTACTAAATGTAATCTTGCCAGTTATATACTCAGGCATCTATGGCATAACCACAGGTAGGGCTGAAGTTCATCAGGTTCACTCTGAGATAAACTTGGTCCAGAATTCCATCAATCATTTTGCTTCAATAATCTCATACTTTAACCAAAGAAGAACATGATGGTATGTTTGATTTCTTATTATCAGTGAGATATTACATCCTATATCCAATAGTCCTCAAAGAATCTGGGTATTTGTCTTTCCCCGGTGAACAAGAACTTTGGTAAATCGACATATGTCTATTTGGGGAAAGACCTGGGTATTTTTTGCTGTTGTAGTTGCATACCTATAATGAAATGGCAGGTTATTTCATCAAGGGAACAAAGACTCATCTAGTTGATGACCACCCAGTATGTGAAGTGACTTAAATCTGAGGAGTCATAGCTTTCTGTTAGAGTGGTTGATTCCAGTCTGATGGTCAGAAGTTCTCTGTTTTAAATGTATTTCAAGTAATACCTAGTCACTGTTCACTTAAGTACCATCTAATGCAACAGGGGAGAAGGCAATGGCACCCCACTCCAGTGCTCTTGCCTGGAAAATCCCATGGACGGAGGAGCCTGGTAGGCTGCAGTCCGTGGGGTCGCGAAGAGTCGGACAGGACTGAGCGACTTCACTTTCACTTTTCACTTTTCCAACGCATAAAAGTTGGAGAAGGAAATGGCAACCCACTCCAGTATTCTTGCCTGGAGAATCCCAGGGACGGAGGAGCCTGGTGGGCTGCCGTCTATGGGGTCGCACAGAGTCGGACACGACTGAAGTGACTTAGCAGCAGCAGCAGCAGCAGTATGTTTAGGTAGATTCTGTAGTGACTTCAGTGGTTAAGCCATTTTCTCCCCAAATGTTAATAACATTACCCTGTTCATGTGTGCTGAGATATATTTGCTTATTGGCTTGGGTACAGTGAGAAATTACAGGGGCAGATCTTTGCATGGGAGAAGCACCATCTTGTAAGGCACTCTACGCAGGCTTGGTTTTGTGAGGTGTCAAGACATGATGAAACAATTATCCTCTGTAAAACGAGAATACAGCTCTTTCTTCTGGCATGAAATATTAAAAGATTTTGAGATTTTGAGGCTTATTCATGCAAAGGTCCATATTCTGGGAGTGAGGATCACATTACTTCCTCAGTTTTTAATTCCCTGTATTTTTCAGTGTTCTGACTTAATGAAAGACAATGCATCAAAACTGAATATTCGGGCTGCCTTGAAACTCTGTTACTCTTTCAGTTACACCATCTGCTGGATCTTTTTCTAACTGTATCATCTTTGGGTGCAGGAGATAAAGGTTTCCTTAAAAGTTCCTATAGTGGCCCTCTGATTTCCACACATGCCCTGAATTGTCAGCATCTGTCCTAATTGAATAATTTTCCTACCTAAGGTTTTCAGTGCAGATATCGTCAGTTCATTCCATAATCTTGATAGCAAATGTTTTTTGATAAAAATGGGAGACTAGATTGAAGATGCATAGTCATCATGTAACTTAATATCACACCTTCCACCTGAATCTCATCCAGTTGACCACAAGTGAGAGTCTTAGTAATTGTGATACTGTTGCATTTCGGAAATCACTGTCAGTCCATTGACCACTGGCAATAGATTCTTGGCTATAAACTGACCATGTTATTGATAATGTGATTTCAGCAAACATGCATGAGAAACAACTGAAGTCAAAGAGGGAAGGGTAATAAATTTATTTTAAATTGGATGCTGTGTTGTTAAGGGTCCAGTAGGAGACAGAGACCACACAGTGATTTGAAAAGAGAAATTTTAATATAAAGAATTCTGTTACTAAGAAGTATACTAGTGGGGAAATTGGCTAGTAAAAGTTAAAAGAGAAATATAAAGAACCTATGAGAGAAGAAGATATAAGGAGTAATCACTACTTCTAGAATTGAAGTGGGGCATCCAAGGAAGAACCTTCCTCTCTTTTATTTAAGCCTGTGAGATTACTAAAGTGACTTATTTGGGAGGCTTGCCAAAAATCTGTCCTCTGGGAAAGTCAAGGAAGGTCTTCTACAGGAAGTTGCCAAGCCTTTTAAAAAATAGCATATTCCCTGCCAGGACGGCAAACAAAGGATGTCACAGTCAGCAGTGAAAACTCAGAAAGGAAACAAAGAATACTTGCAATCTAGCAGCTACCAGACTGCAGCCACTCACAGTGGGGTGAGCCCTAAGGGAATTCAGGACGAGAAAACCCAAGATATGGCCCCAGATACTTGAGATATACATGCTCAGACTCTTGTATCTTCCTGTATATAGAAAATGACTAAATTCTGTAGCTTGAGATGACTAGTCTATTTTTAACAGTAATCTTTTGATCTGACTACCTGCCTTTGTTGCAAAATTCCTATATGTCCTAGCTACCGGCTCCTCCCCTCCGCAACTCCTCAGAGCAGTTTTCTCAGTTACTTGAGATGCTGCCTCGTGGGTTTGAAGTCCTCAGTATGTCTGCTGAAAAAAAAAACCCACAACTCTCAAACTTTTATATTGTTATTATTGTTTTAGTTGACACTCTGAACTCTAGATGCCAGAGAAGCCTATGACTGTTAGGTGCTACTTGAATTAGGATACAGAGAGGCTGCCTAAGGCTCAGCCTGAGGTAGTTCCAGGATGCCTTTCTGGGAGGAGGTTTCTGTGGCCAGGTTGCTAGACAGCTCACCCTGTACTGACTCAATGTACAGCCACATAGCCAAGGCTAATCAGAAGACGTAGGGAAGCTGTTTCAGCTGGGATGCTGGTCCATTCTGGCCGGGCCCCTGGTTATACACCTGCTGTCCCATTGGAGAGCTGGAGAACAAGCTCAGGGTGTAAATGCTGGAGGAAGCTATGCACTGCTGGAACTGAGCACTGAAGAAGCCTCACGATGCCCGGCAGTGGGGAATTAACATGTTCTGTGAGTCTGGCCTGCAAGCAACTCAGAAACAGGAAGAGAAAACCCCTCTTGCTCTGGTGTTCCCATTCCACCCTCTAGTGACAAGTCTTAACATTGTGCCAACTGACAGAAGAGAAATAGTCACAGAATCCAACACCATCATCATGGAGCAGGCGAAAAGAAATCTGGAGCTGAGAGATGACGAATCAGTAAGTCAGATACCATTATGGGTGACTACTGCAAATCCTGCAGATCCATCCCTGAAGCCTTATCAAATATGCTTCTTGATACTCTATCCAGGAAAATAAAGTGGGGGAGATTTCTCGATTGGATCCTATTTGGTCAAAACTGACCCTATTTATTGCTGATTGTCCCATACTTCTGGGTTGCAGATTCATGAACATTTAGTTATTGTTGTTGTTTAGTCACTAAGTTGTGTCAAACTCTTTTGTGACCCCATGGGCTGTAGCCTGCTGGGCTCCTCTGTCAATGGGATTTCCCAGGCAAGAATACTGGAGTGGGTTGCCATTTCCTTCTCCAGGGATCTTCTGGACCCAGAGATCAAACCTGCATCTCCTGCATTAGCAGGCAGAGTCTTTACTGTTGAGCCACCAGGAAAGCCCTCATGAACACCTAGTTCAGTTCAGTTCATTTCAGTCACTCAGTCATGTATGCCTCTTTGTGACCTAATGGACAGCAGCATGAACACCTAATAGTACTTATGAAAAGCTCACTGCTCAGGGTCAGTCCTGTGGCAAGAAGCAAGAGGTACATGGTGCAGGCCTAAAGCAGTCTAATATCTTGTTTCCTCTGTGTGAAATAAATGAATGGTGGGGCTGCTTACTGCACCAGTGACTATACAAAGAGGCTGAAAGATTTGAATTGTACACTGTAAAAAACTGACTTTCAAGGCAAACTCAGACCATGATATTCTAGCCTGGAGAGTTTGTAGGTTGAAAGATTTGGTTGTTTCAGAGTGAGGTTTGGGCCATCCTGCCTGTTGTACTGTAACATTAATCATTTTTTGTTTTTGTGCAAGTTGTATTGCACCTTTAAATCCCCATAAGTCAACTGTTGTTGTTTAGTTGCTCAGTCATGTCTGAGCCCGCCAGGCTCCTCTTTGCATAGGATTTTCCAGGCAAGAATAATGGAGTGGGTTGCCATTTCCTCCTCAGGGCATCTTCTTGACCCAGGGATCAAACCCTTGTCTCCTGTATTGGCAGGAAGATTCTTTACCACTAAGTCACCAGGGAAGCCCTATAAAGTCAGTTAGAGTCATATAGTTATAAACTTCTGTTCCTTTGTATTTTAAACCCCAGAGAAGAAAAATGATCCAGAAAAAGGTTTTCATAGGCAACCTGCTTTAAAGAGAATGAAGGTAGCTCCAGAGCAATGGGGAAAGTGCTATGAGTACATGATGTATACAGAAGTGGTCTCAGAAAGACCACTCAGAGCAGTCCCTTTTATCAGAAATATTTACTGTTAATTTCATGAACTTTTCCATTAAAATAATAATATTAACAATAAGAAAAAAAGGAAAAAGGGGAAGAAAACAAAGGAAAGTGTCAGGGATTGCACAGCAATTTGGATTGGAAGAAGAAAATAGGAAGAAAATAATATATTTTATTTCCTATTTTACCTGACTTTACCTAAATCTACTTAGATAAATGCACCTTTTACTTAAATATAGACCCCATAGGTCCAGAGTTCTCCTGCCTTCCTCCTTGAAAAAACAAACAAATAAACAAAACATACTTTTTTTTTTTTGGTTCCAGCTGCTTTTCCTCCTGGTCCCAATTTGTTACCTGGAGACCAACAGATTTTCATCTCAAAACGATTCAGATACCTGTCAAAAAGTGATGGGAAGAACTAACATAGTTGAACTTGAGCCATATAATTGCATTATGAGCCTAGAGTGATATGTATATCAAGGCTAGACATTTAGATTACTTTATATAGTGCTTCAACTGGAATGAACATTTTTGGAGGGGAGTGGAAAACCAAAATTAATAGTTTATAGGAATCTTTTGTTCAATTTCGTTCCTGACCCAATTTGATGATTGTAGCCCCATCCCCAGCACATCCCTTCTTCTACTAACCTGGAGACAGAGTCATCATTGTTGGCTCATCAAAACTGATTCATTTATCTCTTCTTACTTTTTCAAGAGTAAGATGTTTTACTAGATCTTATTTTCTATTCTCTGCCTGAAAAATCATGTCATCCCATAAAATATTATCAAAATTACACCTTTTATTTACTTTCAATCTTCAAAGTTGAAGGCTAGATAAAAATTGATTTTCTCTTCTAAAGTTGAGGGTCCAAGATACGAGGACTACTTGTGACCCTTGGCTTTTTGCTTGTGAGATCAAATGCCTTTGGTTGCCAGTAAATGTGAAGATGATGAAAAAAGGAGGAATCTTTGATAAATTTGAGAGTTCATAAACTACTTAAATGCATTCACATTAAAGCTAAAATTAAACATTGTGATGACCAAATAAAGTTTTGTGGACAGAGCTCTACATAAGGCCTATGATAGTCTCACATTGAGTCTGCTAAGTATACACTTTATCTTGGAGCTACAGCTGGATACGGGCTGCCTTACCAACATCTGAGACTGGCATTCCCAAAGCCTGTACCTGATGTGGGAACAGGCTCACAGGAGTTAAATCTGACTGTGAGACAGAAACTTGCTCTCTGCATTTTCTTAGGAGAGATTATTATTGACAGACAGTGATCAAGCAAGCGGAGTCAGTATTCCCAGGGGTACAGTATCTGTTCATTCCCATGAGGATGTGCCTGTGCTTCCTAGAGAAGTGTATAAGAGCATTAATAAGGATGCAGATTCCCAGCAGGTCGCTGGAGCAAAGAAGCTGCCGAACCTGAATAATCTAAAACCTTGCCACCATTGTTCTGGAATAAGGTAATGAGGAGCCTGGCAGGTGTCCTGAAGATTCAAACTAAACTTCCTTAAGATGCTTTTATGTTTTCCAAGGAAAACTCTGCAATTTATAGGCATCAACCCAATGCCTTCCAGGGGGCTAGAGATAAAAATGTTTCATAGGTTCTCCAGCCAAGGGATCAAATTATGTTTGGGACAGTGTTGATAGCTGAAAAGATTAGGGTCTGTAAGTGGGATGGGGTACATCTTTCTAATTGCATAATGAACAGTTGAAAAAATGATATTATCAACAGTAGCTCATTTATTTAGTTACCTGAATTAGGTTGGAAGCCTGTCAATAAAAACCTCAGACATGGAACTTTGGAAATTGCCCATTTTGAAGGGATTCATTGAGTAAGAATGGACAAGGGGCTATCCCTTTTCTCTCTGCCTCTGAATTCCATTCCCCCACAAAGGCAGACTGTCAGCTGTACCACTGGGGCTTCTCTGGTATAGAGTTGTTAAAAGCAGGGTCACCCAAGGTGTCAGTGATGATGATGCCAGCAGTGTGAGCAGGGCCAAGTCTAAACAGCAGAGATAAGAACCTGAGGTGAAGTCACCACTTTAAGGGCATTCACAGAGAACCCAAGAACAATGGGAAAAGAACTTGGAAGAGGGAAAAAAGAGCAAAATCTGTGGCTATTCTGAGCAGGACCAGTAGCAATTGCATGAAAGCATGTGAGTCTTCAGGCAGCAAGAAATAACTACTGTGGTATGTACCGCATGCCAAGGGAATATTAACCACATCTGAAAGGCTGAGACACAACGCACCCTCAGGATTATGGTAGATTGATTTTATATTTTCATAAACATATGCCATGAACAATAATATAAGACTTAGTCCTCCTTTAGCTCCTCTTACTATAGCATCTGTGGTTTGTTTGAGTAAATGACCATTGACCACATCCATGATGTTATAGCTTTTCCAGATTGCAATATATTCCAATTTAGTTTACTTGATGCATAAACCTCCAAATGCAATGGCTTTAAAAAATAAAAGTTATTAAAGCACTCTACTACTTCTATAGACAGGCTTCCCAGGTGGCGCTAGTAGTAAAGAACCTACCTGCCAATGAAGAAGACAGAAGACCCTTGGGTTCAATCTTTGGGTTGGGAAGATCCTCTGGAGGAGGGCATGGCAACCCACTCCAGTATTCTTGCCTGGATAATTCCATGAACAGAGGAGCCTGGCGTGCTACAGTCCATAGGGTTGCCAATAGTCGGATACAACTGAAGAGACTTAGCATGCACACACACACTTCTAGAGTTGTTTAGAAGTATATAAGGGAATAAAGATAGACTCGAAGAGTATAATGGTCTTAGATAAAAATGAAGAGCCTTTTAAAATTTACTCATTTTTCTTTATATAGAAAAAGTTATATAACATTATTCCTTGACAGCTAAATGTGAACTGTGTTTAATTTAACTGACAACTAAAGTGAGTTGTGTTCAGTAAATATAACTAAGAGAATAATAATATGATTATTTATCTACCAGGAGCAGATATGTAAGAGACCTATTTATGATGCTTCCTCTCAATGCCTCAGAAGCTGCAGTCTCCACATTCCTGTTGGTTGGGATCCCAGGGCTTGAGGGTGTGCACATTTGGATCTCCATCCCTATCTGCCTCATGTACCTCATGGCTATCCTGGGCAACTGCACCATTCTATTTGTCATCAGGACAGAGCCTTCTCTGCATGAACCCATGTACCATTTTCTCCCCATGCTGGCATTATCGGACCTGGGCCTGTCTTTCTCTTCTCTTCCCACCATGCTGAGGATCTTTTTGTTCAACACCATGGAGATTTCTGCTGATGCCTGCATTGCTCAGGAATTTTTCATCCATGGATTCACAGAAATGGAGTCCTCTGTACTCCTGATCATGTCCTTTGATCGCTTTGTAGCCATTCGCAACCCCCTGAGATACAGCTCCATCCTTACTAGCTCCAGAGTTTTGCACATTGGACTAGCATTTGCTTTTAAAAGCATTCTCCTAGTTCTTCCCCTTCCTTTCACTTTAAAGAGACTCAAATACTGTAATAAACGCCTGTTATCCCACTCCTTCTGCCTCCACCAGGATGTCATGAAGCTGGCGTGCTCTGACAATAGAGTTAACTTCTACTATGGTCTGTTCGTTGCACTCTGTATGATGTCAGACAGTATGTTAATTTCTGTCTTCTATGTGTTTATTCTGAAAACTGTATTGGGTATTGCATCTCACGGGGAATGGCTTAAAGCTCTTAACACCTGTGTGTCCCACAGCTGTGCTGTGCTCATCTTCTATGTGCCCAACATCACCTTGGCTATTATGCATCGCCTTCCCAAGCATATGTCCCCTTTGGCTATGATTCTGATAGCTGATGCATTCTTGCTGGTACCACCCTTGATGAATCCCATCTTGTACTGTGTAAAAACTCAGCAGATTAGAGTGAAGGTTCTGGAAAAATTGGAAAACCTGGGTCTGAAGTCTAAATGATGAGGCAAAGGTGGAAGTTCCATTTTCTCTACATCAAATTGTCTTAGGAGTAGGACAACATTTCTTCCAAATAGGAGATGCTTCCATTTACTTTAGAGTTCTTAATTATATTAGATAATTAACTAAGTAATCAATTAATATCTATTAGGGATGTCACACACCACAGTTTTTTGATATTAAGGAAGAAGACATTTACAATTTATAAAGTAGGTAGTGATCCTGTTTACTGTTGTTGTTGGGGGAGACTGAGGACATCTATCCTCAGGTAAAAGAGTAAAGAGGATGTCTAACATCAGAGAAGCTTCTAAGTAGGAGTTGAACTGTAATTGGAAGAATTCTGCAAGGTTCTGGACCATTTAGCATCTTTATATTTGCCTCTCAGCATTTGATTCCTCCTTGTGATTGACATTAAATCCTTTCCAATGTGACTAGGTTTGTCTAAGTAAGTTTTCTTCCTTGCTAACCAGAGGGTGGTGCACTGATGTGCCTCAGCAGCATCTGGGAAATAATAAGAATCATAGGATCTCATCCTTCTTCAAGCCTATTAAGTCAGAATCTTTTAACAAGATCCTAGGTGATTGGTGTGTACATTAATGGTTGAAAAATACAAAATATTTTCCTGGGGTAATGTGAAAGGGAAACCTAGAGAGTGTGTCTTTTGCTAAAGCCAATTTGGGGGGAAATTGTAGGAGGAAATCCTTGGGGCACAAAGGATGGAGACCTATATGCATCATCAACATTCATACATCTCTCTTATAGACACACTGTGAATTTACATAAGGAAAGAGTTATGAATGATTCAAATTTAAAAGTCTCTTCAAGATGAAATACTTCATCCACTGTATATGTTTGGCAGGTGTATCTCAATTTGAACTAAAAGAATAGGCTAAATGAAAGGGTGTGGGTAAAATGGCTAGCATAAAGAAGTGTAATAAACATTAGAGGACAAATTATGGTTCCAGAAGTTCTTATCAATATCCCTATCCCCATATGTGCCCTTGAGAGGAGAAAGGACATTTGAGTTCTTCCTGAAACTTATCATTCAAGTTGGTGTGGAATGATTTTCAGAGAGAGAACAGTGCTACGAATGGTAATAGTGAGCACTGAAAACCAAAGATGCTACAGGATTGATGTGGGTGTGGCCAGTGGTCAGGAGAGAGTGAGAGGCAGGAGAGAGCAGTTGAGGCCCTGCTGTAAATGAAGAGCTCTTTGCTCCCATCTCTTAGTAAGGTAATAAACACGTGGAGGCAGTCTGAGTCTGCATTTAGCTCATCTACCACCAAGTTACAAAGAGCCATTCAAATGCTTTCAGTAGTTTCATGCATACAATGAAGTGGTAGGAACTTAAAGAAACTTCCAAATGTAAAGTTCTTTATTCAGATTGAATATGCATACAAAGTTTAAATATAGTTATTTTAATTTCCATGATTAACTCCAAAAAACTATCATTTATTAAATATTTTATATGTTCAGACATTATGATACAGAGACTTGATTGCATGAAATCCTTATTACACCTATGTTACAAACATGGAACAGCTAGTGCCAAATCACTCAGGAATAATGGACTGAGGATTCTAAACCAGGCCTATGTGACTCCACATTCTTTCTATCCAACATTCTACTCTTGGTAAATAAATTGGAAGATGGAGGTAGGCCAGCCAGGAAGAAAGAAAGAGCGGGCGGGGGAAAAAAAAAAAAACTCACACACAGAACCAATCACCGTCAAGAAAAACCAAGCTCTCCATCCAATAAATAAAAAAGAGTGTTTTGTAGCAGGGGTTTTAAATTAAGACAAACCTGAAAACAAATTCTGTTTAGTAACTAATTTTATAGACTTGGGGCATTCTTAAAATCTCACCCTCAGTATTCTCATTTCTGAAATTGAAAGATTGACATCTAATTAGTTAATCAAGAGAATATATATCTTAAAGAATAGTTTGTTAAAATATGAGGCTATAACTGCTTCTGTATTCCTAGAATATATTCTAATGTATCACTGTGTGTTCTTATCTTGTCACTAAATGGATTTGATCTGAAAATTTGATTTTTTCACTTTTCATTTAAAATGTGTTCTTCTATAATCACAAGTAACAAGGATGTTTCAACTGTTCAACATATTAAAGTAGAAAATTACTGTGTTAGTGAATGTTGAAAAAACATTTAATAGGATTCATTAAGTAAGCTTATTAATTTTTTTTAAATGCAACATAAATGAACTATTTAAGCATTATAAAGTTCATTCAAAGATCTAGCAGTCAACCATTGTGCCAGTAAGTGAAACACTAATGCCATTTAAATAAAATGAGAAACAGCATTTTATGTTCACTCTTAAACTTTCATAATGGGTTGGAGATTCCAATGAATTTAATAAAATAAGAAAATGAAATAATTTATATGACTATTAGGGGAACATTACCTGTTATCTAGTTTTACTTATGAATGCTATTAATAAATACAAATAAAATACAAAAATTAAAAAAATGTTTCTAAAAGTTTATGATAATTTGGTAAAGTACATACTAATGCAAGATAAAACTGTTTTTCTCAATCTAGTAATATATATGTGGAGATAGAAATGTCTGGTTATCTCAGTTGATTAGAGCGTGGTGCTAATAACACCAAGGTCATGGATTTGATCCCCGTACAGGCCACAGAAAATTTTCCTCCTTACCACCCAAGGTGGTTACACGTTAAGGGCTTCCCAGGTGGTGCTAGTGGTAAAGAACCCGCCTGCCAATGCAAGAGACTCGAGAGACATGGGTTTGATTCCTGGGTTGGGAAGATCCCCTGGAGAAGGAAATGGCAACCCACTCCAGTATTCTTGCCTGGGGAAACACATGGAGAGAGGAGCCTGGCAGGCTATAGTCCTTGGCATTACTAGGAGTCAGACATGGCTGTGTTGAAGCCACATGTTCCGGGAAACTCACTCACTCAGAAGGACAATGCAGACAGTGGAGTGCAGTTTATTACACTGGCGGGCCCAAGGCAGAGTCTCCTCTTAGCCAAGGACCCTGACCAGTTTTTGTGAAAACCTTATATACCCTAAGTGTATGTGCTCAAACCCACCTCCCCAAATTCCCTGAAACTAGTCTAAACAAAGGAAAAGAAAGATACAATCAAAGTTAAGCCATGATTCATATGCCTTAAACCCGTGATTCGTATGCCTTAAGCCTAGGTAGTTAACAGTGGACAACTATCAATAGGCCTGTGGTCATACCCCAAAAAGCATAATAGAATTTATGATTCTATTTGGTTACACAGATAATTAGGGTATTCTTTTAGGCAACGGAGAGTCTAGGTATGGGCCCTGGGGCACTTCCATCTGGCAGGGTCTGGTTTTCCAGTTGGTATGTTGTTTCCACAGATACTGGGCATATAGCTCAAAGTCCACAGTCCAGCCCAAGATGGAGTTCTGCTTTCAAGATGGAGCCTGTTCTGTCTGTTTCCTCCTTCAGCTAAGCACACACACACACACAGAAATGGGGTAATGTTTTATTTGTAATAGCAACATAATCATACATTTTAAAAACTACATAGAAATAGATTTAAATAAACTGAACAATTTTATTGAAAAGTGTAAAAAAAGTATTAATAAATGAAATACATAAATTCTTGTATGTGGAAACTTATGAATGCTGATTTGGTTATATTTAATCTATTAAAATGTAATTCTTATTAGAACTTCAAAGTTTTTCATTGTTTTTGAGAGAGGATCACTCTATACTGCATATTAACCAAATCACACTATGAGGCTAGTCTAATAGATCAGTGATATGTGTATGACACATACATTGTTGTTGTTCAGTTACTCATTTGTGTCCGACTCTGCAACCCCATGGACTGCAGCATACCAGGCCTCCCTGTCCATCACCAACTCCCAGATTTTGCTCAAACTCATGTCCANTCCTCTATTCATGGGATTCTCCAGGCAAGAATACTGGAGTGGGTTGCCATTCCCTTCACCAGGGAATATTCCCAATCCAGGGGTTGAACCAGGTCTCCTGCATTACACGTAGATTCTTTAGCATCTGAGTCACCAGGGAAGCCAAAAAGATGACATACGTAGTTTTTTATTTCAGTGAGAAAAAGAGAATGTATTTAATAGTTGATGCTACCACAAGTACATAATTACCTTGTTAACATAACATTGAACTTAGAAAGAAAAGTCGTTATAATAGTTCTTTTAAAAAAGGCTTAAGAGAATATGTGCAGAACAGGTTAAAGACACTTGTTTTAAAAGCAACACATGAAACACAAAAATTATAAAGATATATAAAATGGATTTTATTGTGTAAAACTGTATTTACTCAAGATTTGGATGCTTAAATAATGAAAATAGGCAAATACTATATTGGCAAAGGTATAAAAAAGGATTTTATATAAAGGATTTCTTGCACATTTGTTTTTAAAACCATAAACAATCCAGTAGAAAAATGGATGAAAGCTTTTTGAAGAGACTTCATAGAGGAGGAAACCAAATAGCCAACAGATATGTGAAAGACACTGTTTCTATTAGGAAAATCTGATGTAAAGTAAAATGATATTATTGTCACTAATAAAACTGATGGAAATTTAAGAATAATGGTAAGGGGAATTCTGGTGGACATGCAGAAAAAGCACGCTCCTACATACCTGAACGATTGTGACAAGACTTAGATTCTGACCCTTTCTGTGCCACGGACGTGATATTAATAGGGGTTTACAATAGACCACTCCCCTTCTCTAGGGCTCATAAACTTTCATCAATATGCACACTCACACTTCAAGGGACAGGAATACATATCTGTGTACACACACTTTTGTGTACCTGAATGACATTTTATGCATGATGAACTGAGTTCTCAGTCATGGAAACCTTTGTGTCAGGTAACCACCAAACATGAAGGGAACATCCTTCTCACTGAGCACAACCCACCTTCCTGGGCTGCAACCTCTTGTGGATTCTCTCTCTAATCTCCTTCATCTTGACACTATAGAGAATGGGGTTTACCAATGGG